AATCGGCCAGGAAGGCGGAGTATCGTTCGATGACTGATGCTGAGAAAAAGAGCAGCTGGCCAGGAAGAAGAGGCTGGACAAGATTTGGCTTTGGGAGGGCCGGCAGCGGCCAAGGGTTATTTGCAAAACCGTATAGACAACGGCTTTGGAGACGTTTTGAAGTCGAACCTGGATTTAATCTTGAGACTGAGAATACTCATTTCTGAGATTCTCCACTCTATGACTCCTCCTGTTGTTGTCGATAATGTTGCCCAATGATTATCATCATCATGTTGTGTGTGTTATGATATGTATATACTATCATTCTTATTGAGTTTTCCCCTATTGTTATCCTCACTCTTGAACGAGGAGTGTTCAATTCTCGTAGAGCTTCCTTTATAGAGATGAACACCTTGTAGACCAACACCATATTGGTTCTATTCTGCTGTAGTCCAAAGCCTCGGCATCGCCCTTACTGATACCATAATCTATTCACATCACACTGTTGAATACTACTAGTGTGGGAAACTTGCTACTACTCCGTGTAGCTGTTTTGCCCAGCATGGTGATGAAGTTATTCGTTGTATTCGCGACTTTACTCACTGTACATGCCTCGACCCTTACCAAAGTAAGGCCGGGCCTGCTTGCATATGGGGGCATATGTGATACAGTCTTTGTTTGTTCAGAGCAACAAGTCGACTATTCAAAGGCATATTGAGGAACTTCGAGAAGAGTCTGAGGCTAAGGGGAAAGTAAAGAGGATAATAATCAACCCATCCTTCTCACACGCCTCTCAGTCTATCGCGGAGCACTTCTTGAAGCCAGTTGTGCAAATGAGGAAGAGACCACCACAGAGGCGACGAGCTTATTCAACAGGCGACGTACGATTCGATGTGTGAAATAACCCAGCATACTGTAGATTCCCTCGGAAATGGCGACGGCGCAGATAAAGGATATTCTGAAGAGAGCTAATGAGTTGGGCATGGTGAGTGGGTGTAAGCAGTGTCATTGTCGATAGAGCAGTTCCTAACAGAGTCCTGCACAGTACTGGTTGAAGCATGAGGGGAAGTATTCTGAAGCTAGGGTAACCGATATGGAACCCGAGCATAGAGCTGACAAGAGGAGGGCGAGGAGGAGTTGGTCTTCCTCATTTGACTCTCACCGTTAGTTGTACATATACGCTGTTCTTGTTGAATGCTACTTCTTCCGCATTTGAGTTGGGGAGCGACCAACTCCTTCGTGTTGACCGCTTTCGCGAGAGCTTCTTCTTATCGCTCCGCAACAACATGTATTCCACTGCCCGGATCATGCTCATCATCTGCGCTGTCATACCAATCGTTCCTTGTCGTGGGCATGAGCCCAGAGGAGTAGGTGCATTTATCGTGCTAGGGGCCTTCTGATGGGCTTTTTGTAGGGCTTAGTTCGCAAGCGCGTCTTGGAATACGAGCCTAGGATTTTCGAGGAAAAGAAGGCTCGCATGAGCACCAATGACATAGTGCACGAGTTGAATAGGGTAGACGAGGCACACGATACGTGTTGCACTTTTTACAATTCAGAGGAAGAGAGTATGGAAGAAGGCGGAGAGGAAGAGTGGAGGGGCGCTTACCCCCGCAGAGGTGGACGACTCATCCAATCAGTGTTGGAGTTTATGTTCACTTCCTAAACTCGGGATTTCCTCATTTATTTTGAGAGTTTTCATACGAATTCGAGTAGAAGTGTACAAAAACCGTGTACCAAAATTTTCTCAAAATTCTCATATTGTCACCGACATGTAGTTGACCATGTGCATATTTCCTTATCGAGCAGCGTGCCCTTCTATTTCAGAGGGGACGATTCGCCTTAGTCCTAGGTGACAGAGTCGACGCTTATGATCCGGACTTCTTGGTGAGTG